TATTGCAATACTGAGTTTCTTTCTGAATACAAATACGGCTTATGGGTTACGTCTATTCATGGTTAATGCCGAGCATATATTATGAAATGGATCATGGTTTGCTGGATGATCATTTTATTAAAAGAGAGCGTTATGTTTTATAATTTGGAGTAGTTAAATCACAGTTTTTCAGATAATCCATTGTTAATCTGCGATGTTTGATCATTGTTTAGCTGTTCTTCGAGAAGATCGGCTTCGAATATGTGGGCAATCCGATCGACGTCGTATTTGAAGAGCTTCCACCGTCACTTGTTACGTCCATGGATGCTCCTGTCTGCTCAAACGGTAGTTCGAATTCTTCTAACTGCAGTTTCCCAAATTGATCTTCTGTTTTCTTTGGCAGTAACACTACCGGCATTCGTCAGCGAGCGGCTTGCTGAAATAAAGCAGCAGGTCATCAATCAATCCTTCCTCGTAGAAACAGAACAGCAATCCGCTGAACCCTTTCATGCACACGTTGAACGTGAAATCGTTGAACCACAGCTCAACACCGGCACATCAAAGGATCAGAATACGAACCAAAGAGAATTGCGACGGATATGTAAGTCGCAGTGCTCGATGCTTAATCATTTACCTCAGTTACATAAATTCACCTGAGGGAATTATATCAGTAAGTGTATAACTTTGCCACTTTACCGGTCTTCACGTCTTGGACCGCTGCTTCCTTGCTCGTAAGCAGTTGGATGCGCCTAGGGATTTTCTACTCCAGAAGAATCATTTGTTAAGATAACGGTTCTTTGACCACTAAAATGATGCGATATGTACGTATGCAGTATATATTTTAAAATTATAGCGCTATCATTGTTTTTCTATGCCGCTATGGTCGACAGAGTGGTGCTCATTGATCATCCTCCGAAAGAAGATGGGCGAGCGACCCTAACCAGCGCTTGAACTCATGACCCATCGGTCGAGAGTTCGACGTTCTAACGATTGAACTTTTCATCGCCCTTCCTCGTCTGATCTTATCATTGAAGTCCCATGAAGGGATTCGTAGACTTTGGGATCATACACGTCTCAATTCCTGACAAAATTTCTCCACTTCCCTCTCCTCAGTTGTAGTTATGGGAGTTTTGATTTGATAATTTGCAAACTCCTATTTTTGTTCAGTCTTGGTGACTAAGCACGATAGGAGTGATTTGGGGGGCAGCGTTTGCTGACGACAAATGCAACCCTGTAGTCTTCGTGCCCTCTCCTCCTCCCAAACTGAACTGCCATTCGTCTCCTTCCGCTGTCATCTCTAGCAGAATCTAAGGAAGTCTCAGACCATCCCTTATCTTCCCTCCATTAATGGTTTAACGTTTCTCAACTCGCCAGCATTCTACAGTTGTAAATGCAAACGACGAGGGACGTACGGCTCCGTTTATCAAAAGACGACCTTTCGCCTGGGATTTCGAGAGCAGCAGCTTCTCTTCAGTGGAATACCGGAATGGCGTCATGGATCGAGAGATGCGCATGATATTGAGGCCCATTTATTTGTGCTTTCGTAGCGTATGAAGTTTTGCCACATACTAGCATACTTCCGGTGGTCTGAAGAATTTCGCTTAGACGGGTCCGTGACGTGACACATCCAGTTTTTGATTGAATTTTACCTCTTCGAGACTGTAACGAACCGACGCCTAACCGCAAGGCAACGGTAACATTGGCAGTATCTTCTTCAAAGGGGCAGATCGCCTTCGACTCGTTATGAGACTGTCATATGGTGTTGTGCCTTTTTCTGTGAGAATCGAACTTGTTGCGTTCGAACTCAGTCACGCCGTAATGGTCTTGTAGATGTCTGTCCCCACGACTGGCCATTTATTGCCATCAGCCTAAGTATGCTGAGACGCTGCCGCATCCTCGACACGAGGATGCGCCGAATGGCCAGCACCTAAGCACACTTGCAGAGCTGAGATCGAGGCTATCCAAAAGAATTTTTTACTCAACTCCTTGCGTAAGCGTCATGCGTCCCCCATGGTTATTCGAACAGTCAGAAGGAAGTGCTCTCCAGGTTTTTGTAAGCGAATTCAGCTTGAAGCGAGGCAAATGAATCTATAAAAAGCCCCATGGATAGACGGTCTGACAATTAAAATATCAGAGCGAAAGTTGAGGTAATACTGAGAGCAGTTATGGAGAGGTTCAGTTGCTACCTAGAAACCAAAGCTAGAGGAATCAAAAACAATTCTTCTATTCAAGAAGGGTGATAAGAAAAATCTGAAGAACCATCGAAGAATGTGGCTGCTCTTACAAGTTTACAAGCTGTTCATTAAAATCATCACCAACAGACTGTCAACAGGTGTCGTCGAACAGTGCTAAGAGAACAGGTAGGATTCCAAGTGAACTGTAGCACAGCGGATAACACATTTGCCTCTAATCAACTCCTCGATCGCGCAAAGGAAAACCGGCACCTTGTGTATATTTCGTTTGTCGACTACAAGAAAGTGTTCGACACTTTCGAATGCGGCAAATTGTGAACTGCAATGACAGAACAAGGCACCTGCACACGCTACCTTAACTTCCTAAGGGAAATGAACTCTGGCTGCCTTACAACTCACGCTGTTTCGTCACCTCCTCCTGATTCCTGTTAGAAGGACGTGAAACAATCAGACAACATCTTCCACATAGTCTTCGTTGCCCATTTGGAAGAGGTGCTCCGGATGATGAACTGGAAAAGTCAAATTAAAATTATGTGGTGAGCAACTCAGCCACCTATTGTTCAATGATGACGCAATGCTCTTTGTGGAAAACGCCAATCAGCTAAGAGTTCGACAGAAAGTGCACTAGATAAACTGTAAGACAAAGATATTCGGATCGGACGCCTACGAAGAGCCAGGTAATGTTAAACGGTGAAAAGATCGAAGTTAATAAATATGTTAACGTGGCTCAGAGATCAGCATATAGTATGATCAATTTG